AGAGGATTAAAGGAGTAAAGTTTCATGAAGGACTTTGAAAAGGCTTTACAAATAATAAAAACATTCTGTGCTGAAATTGACAAACATTTTTAAATTGAAGAAGAATGGAGGGAAAACCACAATAAAAATGTCAGTGTTTCCGATTGGTATTTCCTTTCCATTTCCCTTCAGTTGTGTCCCAATTTGCTGTCAGTATCCAAAAAGTAGAAAAAGGTTGTAAAATGCTGAAGTTCTTTACATAGCTTATGAACACTTTCCCCTTGTTAATGTAAACTATTCATTTTAGATTTATAGATTGGCATAGTTCACTTTGGTTTTCACTGGCATCTCTCATGCTACATGGTTTTATGCTGGAGGGAATGTATTCCCTAATAAAATGTGGTTACTTTCTTCCATAATCTCTTGGTAACATATTCTGTTATATCTTACTGTTTAAAATTTACTGAATCTTAGTAGCTGGTGATTTCTAGGCTAATCTGGAGACATCTGAACTTGTGGAGCTTTGACAGGCTAAGATGTTTCTGCTTAAAGTCTCTTAATCAGTGGCAAAAGACATTTCAGCATTACATATTTTCAGTGCCTGGCTATGGTAGTCAGATGTTCTCATAAATGGCCTTGCATTCTCTTACAACACTCTCTAGATTTCGATGAGGATACCAAAGGTTTATGACCCTGAAGTTACTTCTTCTCAGCTGTGAAGTAGGAAGCATCTGAAGGAGCACCTGGTGGTTCTGAAGAAACCACAGGAGATCTCTCTGTCAACAGCAAGACAGAAATTAGAAGAATGAGTTCTCTGTTTTGAGGCTGGAGAGGCAAAATCTTTGTTTTGCAGAATTTGGATAGCTCTGCAGCAGTCAGAGGTGCTCTCCAGAATTTTCTCAATGCATCTTAAGCAAAGTGATTCAAGTTCTTTTAATTTATTAGTCCTATCATCTTGGATCAAAATCCTGAATAAAAACATCTTTGAGTTTGGAGAAAATTCAGGTCCTTGTTTATCACACCTACGTTACAGCTGGATCTAGTATCCATATCTGTTCAGAATTAATGCCTTTGATATATATTCTTATAAAAGCATTCACCTTGATAGCAGAATACTACTTTCCTCTGTTGACTGGTAGCTCAGTCTTCACTGCATTGTTAGAGATGCTGCATTGCTTTACAGATTTATCAAAATCATCAGCCTATAATGTTGTCACTAAATGTATGTGTAATAAGGCTGTAGTATGACTAAAGTAAATCTCACTTTGAGTTCTGCAGTATCAGTTTTAAAAGAGAGTTTGAGTTCTGTTACAAAACATTCAATTGTCTAAGTTTTTAATTTGATTCTTGTGAACAGTAAATTAATTTTCTATTTGAAAGGAAAGTCAGGGAGGATTTGCTTTGTTGCCTTTTCTCTTTCTCTTTGAAAAAACATCTAAGACTTCATGGTGCATTTTTTGGCAGAGTGCACCATCAATAATGCTACCATGTGTCCAGGATTTGGCACAACTTTACTTTCTGGTTTGTTGTCATCTCCTTGACAAGGTCACACAAATTCCAACAGGTAATGGGTAGTGCAATATTCAGAGCAGGTCTTATCCTATTCCTTTAGTCTTTGCTTCCAATGAAGGGCACTCCATTTAACTTACCTCTCCATGCCTCCCTTCCCTGTGATCTCTCTCTACAGTTAACATGGAGCAGACAAGCCTATCAGAATTTCAATTTGCCTGAAAATAATGTTAACTTGTCTTGCAAAAAATTTTTTTTTGTTTGTCTCAAATGTTTCTTCATTTTTTAACTTGTTTTATGTACAGTGCAGTAGATATTGAGGCCACTGGGAATGAATCTCCACACAGCAGCTAGACTGTGAAGGAAGAGAACCAGGTGGCACCAGTGGGACTTGAGATCTGAGTTTTGTTTCTAGTCCTGCTGACATTTTGCTCTCCCTTCTCCTATCCATAAAAATAGAGTGGGCAGGATTTCCATCACTGAAAAACATTTTAGGATGCAAAGATGGAAATTCTAAGTAAAATATTTTAATTGGATATTTTTTTAAACCAAAAAAAAAAGACACTATCTGCACTGTGGTGTACCAACATGATGTTTCAAGGAGTGGAACAAAGGGGAAGCACCAGCTCTGGATATGGGATCTCTGTGGGCAGTGGGAGGCTGCTGGAGAACCCACAGGTTGTGTCTGCATGCTGCCTCTGCTGCACCCTGGCCTGGTGAGGAAGATATGCAGGAAGGTAGACCCCTACAGCACTCCTTGCATGGAGTAAGATTTTTATCAAGGCCAGTGCCCCACTGGCTGTTTTAAATTGCAGTGCAGAGAGCTCCTCAGCAGAAGGCTGTAATAGGCTAGGACTGACCAAAAAGGGGTGTGTGTGTGTAAATGTTTTCCCTCAATGCTCCATTTTTGCTGAACAATAAAAGCCAAATTGATTTTGCTCCAAAGTTTTGCTGAATTTTGTGGGCTTGCTTTCAAGAGGAAAGGATGTGTTTGGGTGGGGTTTTGTTCAATTTTTCTAATTTTTTGAAAAGTACTGTACAACCAGATCCTGCCATTTGCGAAGCAGTTTGATGCTGAAAATATCCAGTCAGCACTAATCAGTAGTGTTGAGTCAGGTTCTTGTCTTTGTAGAAACAATGTGCACCATTGTGTGTGTCTAGGCTGAGCCCAGACTGAAAGACCTTTTCAAGCCCCACTCTTGACAACATGTTCTGAAATCAGTAGATAGGCCATTTGTGTAATTAGACCTCAAGACAGCTGATGAAGAAACCAGGAAAGACGTGTGGAGGAGCTGGCTCACAGCTACAGCAGAGCCTGGTATCAGGGTGGGGATAGGACAAAGTGGAGCTGTGATTGAGCCCTTCTACCTTCAAACAACTCTGCTTTTCCCAGTACCTCCTGGACCAGTGGTTCACAGATTTTAGCCACTTATTTTCTGAAGGGGCCCTCAATGTCTATAGAGACTTGAAGCTAAACCACATTTCATGCCTTCTAGTTGGGAACACCCGTTGTCAACAATGGGTCGTTGTCGCAGTCTAGACAATGCTGGTGTCGTGATGAGAAACAAGTGCCTTGCTATGTGTGCCATGGTACATGCCATTGAGAAAAAGCACTTGGTTTATTCCAGTAAAGCTCTGATTCAAGGGATATTGCAGAAATGTCTATTCCGCATTAAAAAAAAAAAAAAAAAAAGAATGTATGTGGGCTGCTCTGTTTTTGAAAACTTACACATTTTTTTCCTCTATTAAATTGCTTCCTGGTGATGGAAATGTCTGGGATTTTTTTTTTCCTACTGCATCTACTTTCCTTTAGCTTGCACACCCCTGAGGTAATTAGTGTAGGTTAAAATTTACATAACTGACTTAGGGGTTTTGCAAATAGGAAAGATGGAAATTTATTCAAGGTGGTGAATAATTCATTTTAAAGCAAGTTTCCTGTTTTTTTAATCATGTAGAAGATGTATTACAGACTCATAGAGGTTTTCTGAGTAGGACCTTGAGCACTGAATTTTTGATGTATTTTTTTCTTAGTATAGGTAAAGAAATATTAACCGTGACTCATTGCACTTTTCCTGTTCAATAAGATTTGAATAAACTTAACAAATTTATTAGGTAGATGATAGAGCTTTTTAAAAATTATCATGACACACTGTGACAAATATTTTGCTAGGATCCAGAAGAAATAGTTTTAAATCATATTCCCATTGCCACTTCAGAGGCAGAGATGGAAAACAGTGCAGTTAATACAGAGAAGCCTGATTCATATTTTCTTTTGAATATTCATTATTTAATTAAGATTAGGAAGATAAACAAGGGAATTGGACAGCTGTGGGAGTCTGGTAATAAAATAAATTTTTTAAAAGAAAACTTCTTTACTACTGGCTCAGTGAAAACCTGTAGTGGTAATGTCTGAATGTTGTTACAGTGTTATGGCTACTTGATATTTTACATGAAGTGGGTTTACTATTTCATCTTGTTTCTTAATCTAAGTACTCACTTCAAAAATAGCTTTCACAGACATCACCAAGAACTACATCCAGGAGGAAAAAATGCGAACCAAACACTACTCCAACTTTCTGAACATTGGCGTTAACTGCCTCTGCCCAAAACTTGAGTCCTCTTGCCATGTTCCCTGGTGACTGCAGCCTGTTGGGCTGTGGGAAGTGTCACAAGGTGCCCCTGACAGCCCTAACCAGCCAGCAACCAGCTCTGCTGGAGCAGAACTCAGGGCAGAGCCAGGTCCCAGCCCTTCCTGGGGAAGGGTGTAGGTGGTGATTTATCAGCCTAGTGGAGGAAATCAGTGCCAGTAGGGATGGGAGAGAAACGGGTCCTGCACTAGAAAGTCCTAGTAAATTTTAACCAAAAGCTCTCCAGGAGCAGGATGGCTTGGTTCTCACGAGTCGAGAAGCAGTGGTCAAGGAAGCATTGCCCATGACACAATTGCAATATGAAAAACAAATTTTGAGCTAGTTCAGTCATGCCACCTTTGTAATTGTTTGTGTGTGATGCTTGACCTGGAGGATTTAGCATCCATCTGAGGATAGCTGTTGGGACTGCCAACAGATCCCACTGTTCTTTAAGGCAACCATGTTGTCTCTGCTTTAATTTTACAGGGTTAAAAAAGTTACATTAAAAGCTACATGCACAGGCTTTTGTTGTTTTTATCTGTTTTTACACTCTGACAATTTTCATTTTGGAAATAAGTAGGATGCTTTGCCTCAGTCTTCAACAGACATTTCCAAACTTCCTTGAAAACAGCCAGAAATTTGTCAAATAATTAAGAGATTTGGAAGAAAGGAGAGACTTTAACAGCCAGATATGGAGCCCTGATGGGGAGTTTTTCTCCACTGACTGTTGCATTGTCTCCCTACCAAAATGATTTTTTGCCTTCGAGGCTTGATGAGAGTAGAAGCGGAGCGTAGTTTCACACTGTTTAGATGACAGTCTAGAGTACACAGGGATGCCTTCTTCTGTATTGGTAGTGTTGTATTCACATTTTATGCTGGTCTCAGGGACAACCAGTAGAAGATCCAGACATGACAAATGCCCTTGAATGTTCAGCAAGATCTTTGAACAGTGCAGGTCATGGGTAAGAATTTTGTTTTCATGAGTGTACAGCCCTCAGCAGTTATTGTTATGAGTTTTTGCACACAGAACACAGCCTAATACATGCTGATGCTAGCTTCTATATGGAACGACTTTTTCAGCTTGCTGTGCAAGGGAAAAATAACTTCAAGCCCTCCAGCTTCATGCTGGAGAGCTGCAGAACTGTGGGGGGAGAGGACTGCTCATGTGAGTTAGTCTCTTACACACTGTAACCTCCAAAAATGCCAGTCCTGCTACCAAACATTTAAAAATGTCTGTGGTGAGACAAGAAAGACATCAAGATTTGGAGCAGATTTAAAGCAAGGTTTTAAGATGTGAGTTCTTCGGTCTGTGCCTAACTGCTTTGTGTGCTGTTTTGTTGTGTGTGTGTGTGCAGCCACGCTTGCTGATACATGAATGTATGTATGCTTACATATGAATGTCTGATTAGGCCTTGTAATAAAAAGGACTGTAGGACACTACTATGTAAAAATATACATTGTACCAAAAAACTTTTAAAACAAGATGAGAGCTCAGTTTCTCTTGGAAATAATGCAGTAAACATGGGAAAACACACAGAAAAAAAGTGGAAAAAATGTAATAAAGTAATGGTGGCTAAAGTTCCTTATTGCTTACGAAAAGCTTCAACCAGAGGACCTAAGGCAAAGCTTTGGAAAATTGCACATTTATAGCTTTTATTTCCGTGTTATTTCTATACACTTGGAAATAAATTCTGATTTTTCTTTTTCTCCTTGGCATGTGGGACTTGAAGCACAAGGGAGCTTCTCACCACAAGAAACAAAAGTGGAGAGCCAGGATTCATGAACTCTTTCAAAGGTATGTCAGATAAGGACTATTTTGTAATTCCATCTAGTGTACTTTCCTTCTGAAGTTCTTTCAGTTCTTTACAGATATTAATGAAGGGAACTTCTCCCAAACAAAGGACCTCAGGACTAGAAAAATTGAGCCTGTATATTTGAGAGAGGTCTCTGTTTTGAATTACCTCTGTTTTCAGATACCCAGCTTGGACTGTCGTTTTTAAGTGCTACACACAGTGCACTTCAAAAGGTCACCAAAAGGCTTGTCCCAACATCCTTCATCCTTGCCTCTGAATTAGTCTTAGAGAGTGAAGAAAATAGGAATTGGAGCAAAGTTTTTGTGATCAATGACCTTGAGATAAATACATGCATCGAATTACCTGTAAAGAAGTGAACAGATTAAATAAAAACCCTGATGAATAGAGCAAAGGAAGCCATGTTCTGCTTCTGTGACAGCTGACGAGCATGCTGCTGAGTACAGAAGAGGCTGTCACTGAATAAATTATTGTCTTCAATCTAATACTCAGAGAAAGGAGAAAAATGGGGCAACCAGGAAAGAGATCAAATGTGGTTATTTAAATGTTTGATGTTCAGTAATGAAAACTGTTTACCTTCATAATTGTGTATTAGCAGCTAATAAAGGCAATAGATACAGTAGTTTAAAAGTAATAAAATCAACAACAAAGTGTATTTAATTTTAAATTGAATTGCAAGCAAATGGGCATCCTAATGAACCCCTGTGTCAATGCAACTCTAACCAAATTAAGTGAAGTGATTTCCATCATGAGAAGCAAAGTACAAAGTTCCAAACAACTTCTCTCCTTGAGAATGCTTAAACCTCTCAGATGTTTCAGATCCATGAGTTAGTTACACCCATTCAAGAGTCATCTTTTGTATACTTCTGTTCAGGACAGCTGGACCCAAGTTGGTGTGATTAAAGCTCAGGGATAATACTTCAAATATGGTTGACCCTGTGCTTCACATATTCATTTAGAACTTGAATCTTGTCCTTATTTCTCATCAGTCCTGGCTTGGGCAAAACTTCCATGTACTTCATTGCCACTATCATCCACACAGACCTTCCAACTGATTCAGTTATTGCTTAGGAATTGATGTGATACAATTCTACTGTAGAGGAATCTGGAAAACAGTTTATCTATGAAGCAGTGGTAATTTTGCTGATAATATGTAACTATGTACATATTCAAAAGAAAAGAAATAAGCAAGGTCTGAATAGAAACTGATTTGTAGCAATGTCATATGATCTTGGGGGCAGGAGCATTTGTTTCAGAAGAGGGGAATTGGAAGCATATGTTACCTAAGTAGTATGTATGCATGAGTCTGTAATTTTCTTAATGGAGAACCATGTTAATCTTTACAAATGTGGAGACCTCTCATATAATCACCTAGCATGCAAGGGTGGGGGGGGGGAATGGGAATGATGGCACTGGTATTGAATTTTTCAAAAGTAAATCAGAAAATACTGAAGGAATACTTCAGAAATGCAGTCCAGAGAAATGTTGTTGATTTTGAGCCTTCCTTCCTTCCTTCCTTCCTTCCTTCCTTCCTTCCTTCCTTCCTTCCTTCCTTCCTTCCCTTCCTTCCCTTCCTTCCCTTCCTTCCTTTTCGTAGCTAAAGACTTAACAGAGTGCATTGCTTGGGAACATCAGACAGTCTGTTCTCTGATACCTGTATTGTGGACATCCCAGTTAATCCTGCATTGCAGGTGCACCTGATGCAGTGGTTTCTCCTTGGCTTCATGCAGCTCCTCTCAGGAAGATGCAGGGAGTTCCCTTGACCTCCAGCATGGCTCAGGGCCAGCCCAGAGCCGTGAACAGCTTGCTGAGCCTCCACCTTCTGAGACCCACCATGCTTTGTCTGTGCCTGCGCTGGCTCCACCTGCAGTGTAGCTGGAATATCACCAGCACTGGTGTGTCTGACTGACCCTCCCTGGCCTCCTAAAGCATTTTGTGGAAGAAAGAGCTGACGTATTTTGAAGCCAGCAGAGCATCTACAGATGTTTTTACTTAGGGTCAATAATATTTAGATGCTGATGACACTTAGGAATAGAGGAATTACTCATGGTTCTGTGTCTGTTGAAAGATGGGATGGGATTGCCAAAGCATGCAGCTTTATACTGCTCATTGTAAATTACTTAGTTTTGCATTTGCCCCTGCTGTGTTCTAGGAATGAGGTTTTCTCCATAGGGTACTGTGCCTTTTGTGTATCCGGTCCACTAAGAAGGGCAGCATTGGGTTATCCAGTGTTGGGCTATTCTTGCACTATTTGCTGGTATTCTGTGTTGCTATAGTGACCTTTCTTCAAAAATAAAAACCCAACAGCTTTAAGTTTATACAAATTACCCCCCAAATCACTTTAAATACAAAAGAAGTTAACATGTGAATAACAAGGAAGGTTCTGTAGTTCACATACACCTGCAAGTTTGTGTATGTGCATGTATATACTTTGTATATATACCTCTTGTCCTGTATCTATTCTGAAGATTTATAAATTATGTAAGATATACATATAAAATTACAAATTAAAATTTGGAAAAAATAAGCCAACAAAAAAGTAACATTTTTAAAAACAGAATTAGTTTTATTTTAGTGGTTTTGAGCAACATAGGCCCCAAAGAATCAGTGTTTTCCAAAAACCTGTCCAAGTTCATTGAAGCTGTCAGTCAGTTCTCAAGGTGGTGACAGAGGCAATGGCTTCCTACTGAAATATTCTTAACCTGGATCCTAAGTCCCAATGCCAGACAGAGTTGATTATATACAGGCAGTGAAAGCTGGGGCTCCTTATGTCAGCCTGTGACACAGACTGACAAATACTGATCTTGTTTTTATTTTTTTTCTCTTTTTAATGCTGCTTTTTGAAGCCTATGTATTTCTCTGCTTTTTCACACTCTTGTTTCTCCTGGGTGCCCTGCAAGTCTTATGGTATGTTAGAGGAAAACATCAAAATGTTGTATTTCCATCAGCGAGTGCTTTCTGTGTGTGCATTGTAGTTAATTTCTTTCCCATTCTACCCTCTGCAGAGTGGGAAGTCAGCTACTGAAAACAGAGCAGAGTGGAACTGAAGAAGAAATGGTAGCCAGCTTTGGTAACCTTACAGATGTGAATACTGGGTTAAATGGAGCAGCAGGACCTTGTGGGAAGGTGAGATTCTATATGAGTGCTCTTTTCCCTCATGGGTACTGCTAAATCACTGGATCAATTGCATTCCATTATTATCTTTTGTTTTGTTTTGGTTGTTTTTCTCTTTTTGCAGTTTAAGAGGATAGAATTTAGCAGGTTTCGAAATATGCTTTCCAGCAAAAGTAACCATATGCTTAAAGAGAATGTCTAAAGCTATTAATGATGAATCATTTGGGCATGGCAAGAGTTCTTCAAAACAGTTTGTCAGTGCTGGCCAAGCAAAGTCTTTCAGCAAGAGATGAGACAGCTATGCCACCATGCAAATGAGACAGGCTTGAAATATGATGAATCTTCTATCTCCTTTTCCTACTCGACTGACACTCGCTTTGAGGAAGGTTGTAAATGCAAGAGAGATTGTGGTATAATTCCTCAGACTGGCGTTTCTGCCCCCCAGTCACTATTCGATTATCTTCCAAATTGCTGTGTTTCAGAGAGATAAAGATTTTTTATGGCTTGCTGACTTGAAACAACCAGAAGAGCCAGAAAAGAGATGGCTAACCGGCCATGCATAGTAATTCCATTGGTAAATGACAAAATCTTTGTTTGTATGACATTTCCAAAGTTACTACAGAAGATGAATCTAAAATACAAAATGTCACATTTGGCATGCAAAACTATCACAATATATTTCAGTATAAAATTCATAGAGGCGTTTAATTTAGAATGTGTTTAATAATGAAGGCTGCCTGCATCAGTAATCCTGCCTTGAGGTTTAAAAAGATTGTCTTATTTATTCATATAATGTTAATTTTTTTTATATATGATTCAGAAACCAAAAATATTAAGGTTAAATCTTCATTGTTAATTAAGATTTTCTAATTAAGCTGAAAATAATTGTCATTCAGATTAGTTGTTAAGTATGGTTTGTGTTGAGAAACAAAAGAAGTTTAACAAATTCAACTGTTTATTTAACTGCTTAATTTAATTCCAGAAGCTTTCTATCTATATGGAAATATCCTATCTCTTCCAAAATAAATCCAAGACAGGATTAAAGAAGAGATTATTAGCTACTGTAGGCTTAAACTGTGAGACCACTAAACCTAGTAGTCAAGGTAGCCATGTGATTCCTAAGTGTGGCATGGGTTCTGATATCCAGTTGCATTAAAAGAAGATCCAGCACTAGTCTTTCCTCAAAATAATGCAGGAAATTGATTTCTTGGGGAAAAGCGAAAAAACAATGCTGATTTTAAGCACTATATAATTAGCTATGGCAGAAACAGTTTTACCCATTCAAATCAACACTGGAGCCTAACTGGGTATCCCTGTTGCTGTGTGCCTGACCCTGCAGATTGCATTTGGGCAGCACCAAAATATCTTCTGGTACAGTGGGACAGACCTTATACCATTATTCAGGCAAAGTTGGGTAAAGATCATGCTATTGTGCCTGTTCCCTTCCACAAACCTCCACATTGGGAATCTCAGCATACAAGGAAAGCACCAGAAAAGCATTTCCTTACTAAATATTCTGAAACTCAGACAACATCTTGTCAACAGCAAGTGGCAGATGTTTTCTTTTGTCTCGACTTGGAATAAAGGTGCCTGTAGGGAATTTTTATTAAACTCTACACGTGTTGCACTTTGATTACTATTTTTAAGAGAATCTGATTATGATAATCAGAAGGTGAAAGGATAGTCTGCATGTTAGACAGCACTAATAGCTTTGGCAAGGCTAATAATTAGTATAAAAACATGGCCTGCCCTGTATTTCACTCTGTGCCTGCAGCCTGCTCGTCACATTATGTGTTGTGCCAGTCTTGAAAAGCATGCTGTATTTTTGAAGGTATTGTTTTCCAGTTAATTCTGCCTCATTATTGTAGGGTAGTGTCTTCTGGTGTCATACTTCACCAGCTCCACCTTTTCCCCAAGGATGCTGAACATTTTATTAGTAGTATTTGTATTGTTTTTCCTTTTATCTGCCATCTCTATGACTTTTGACCTCCTTAATTGCAGATCCTTGGTAAGCAGTAGGTAATTGCAGGTTGAACAAGAAGCGTGTTGTCTGCTTTTCAGTAGTTATTTTCTGGAAGAAATTTGTCCTTGCTAATTGTATGGTTCAAGTGAGCCCAGCCCAGATCAGTAACTCTGAGCCTTCTCCCTAGGTTGACTGCTCCAAGATGCCACAGCCACTAGAAATTCACCTCAGATGCCTGAGGGGAGTCAAAGATAAGGTCCCTAAAGGCCTCTACACTCTCAAAGTTTCTGTTCTCAGCCGCTTAGGTGGTGCCTTGGTAGAGTGGCCTGAGCTGGAGGAGCAGCCTCAGGCCAGGACGACGCGGCCTGTTAGTCATGGTGGAAACTTCTACAACACTGAAATCTACTTTGGACAAAGTATCCAGACAGTAAGCAACACTTCATAAATATGCTGGTTTTGCTTTGAAAGTTAAAACACATCCGCCCTTTCTCCTTTAGGCTTATATATTTAATGCATTCCATCATGTTAATAAATTATTTAATAATTTAAGGTGCAATTTAGGAAGGTGCAATTTTTTCCCCCTAGGTTAACCCTCATCACTCACTTTAAGGGTGCCAAACATACGCTATATCATATAGTGTTGTCAGCTAATTTTAAATTTTACTTTTATTCTCTCTTATCTATGCAGCTTGTCAGCTATGTAATTTGATTTCTGTAAAGTAGCTTTAGAATAATAAATGAATGAGTGGGTGTATATAAACACATGAATGCCCAAATCCTTCTGTGAGTTTTTAGCTCCATTGACCCCCATTTGCCAAAAAGGCAGTCTTTGGATTATTTTGGAAGGAGCCCAAACACTTGAGGCTCTATTCTGTCTTTTGCAACTGAGGCACACATATTTTCCTGCCTAAGCACGCTGTGCATGGCAGGATTGTTGTGTGTCAGTTGCTCACTGTTGTAGCTAATGCCTGGTGCTGGTTGGAACACTGGTCTCTGATAAACTCTCTGGCACATGAAAGCTTCTTTACAGTTTGAAAACAATCTTCATCTCTCTCAGTGTGGTGGTTTTTTTTTTTTTTTTTTTTTTTTTTTTTTTTTTGGTGCATGTTATGAGGCATTGTAGAATGAGGAGTTTTTTCTGTTTTCAGTCACTATTTTGTGGTAGGTCCTGAATGGCAGACTTCCTCCTCCATGTGTTCTGTTGTGTAGATACAGAACAGACAAACAGCACCTATCCCAAAGAGCTTTCAGATAAAGAAACTTTCTTGTGTGGCACTGATGTCTTCAGTTACTTGCAGATAATAATTTCACATGTTGGTTTTGTTATACATAAAGGCTGTTAAGTCACATTTTCTGCTTTTTAATTGTTTATCACCTGTAATTTATAACGGTGTCTGTAAGTACAGCTATTAGTGCAAAAGGAATTGCATGTATAGAGAGGGAAACTGTGAATGGGACTTTCACATGTTAAAACAAATCCAGGCATCTGTCAGAGAAATCACTGAGCTGTGATTCCCTCCTAGGCAGGATGCACCCGTCTGGGTCACTTGCCTTGAAGTACTGTTTTGAAAGGAGAAGACTGGGTGCTAGGACTGAATAACTCTAGCATGTCCTGCTTCTTACTTTTAGCATCACATATCTTCTCGGTCTGTGCAGGTTTTGCACTTTCAGGTTTGCTTCAAAGTTCTCTTGGAGCTTCACAGGGGACGTTAATTAGCATCTTCACCAAACTTAATTTTTAGTCTAGTGAACTGGGGTGCAGGAATTGGTAAGTGCCCTTAGAATAGAGGAACAGGAGAAGTTGGATTCAATGACCTGCTGGTAATGCTCTATTTTCATTACGGAGCCATGTACAGCAAAAGCCATAATTTTAGAGAATCCTCTCCACCAGCTCATTTTGGAGACATGGGGTATGTTGTACCATGGATGACTCTACCTTTCTGTTCTTCCACCTTGGTAGTGGTTCACAACCTTAAGGTATGTTTGAAAAGAGACCCTTAGGGTGTGTGCTGAGATATGAGGCAGATTTTAGGCTTTTAGCATCTACCACCAGACTTAGGGTAAGTAGTGAGGTCTTAGTGGTGAGCTCCATGTGAGCATCTGGGTTTGAACAGAATCTTACACACAGCACTGCTGCACTGGGATATATTATGGTGTGAGAAATAGAAGTGCTCAAAAATGAAGAATATGCTTTTGTTTCCACTGGCCAGAATAATAATAGGAGTTCAGTGTAAACATGGTGAAAATGAAGACATGCATGCTTGATATTGAAGGAAAGCCTAATTTTAACTAATATATTAGAGAAATTGTTCCAGAACACTACATCCTTCCAAAAATAATAACCCTGTCATGTCAGCAAAGTTGGTGTCAGCGTGGGTTACCTGCTGCGTACAGAAAGTGCTGGTCATGTAAGTTAGATCTGCCTCAGGGCTAGTCTGACTTGCACACCCGACCTTTCAAAAATGTTTTTTGTTCATTAATCAATGTTCTTTGCTCCAGCTTGCCAGCTTCCCCTCTTTCCGCTCCTTCATTGTCCTCCTTTTTAGTTTGTCAACCTACCTCCCCCAGTAACCTCTGACTACATACTAGACAGAGGCTCCTAATAGCTCCAGTTGAATTTTATTTATCCTTCAGTAAGGCCAGACAGTCACACAAGTAATTTATTTTTCTTAAATTATGCTGAAAGAAACATGTATGAATGCTTTGGATTGTGGTAAAACACGATTGCTGTTTCAAATGACTTTTCACAATTTTATGAATAGCAATGAACTGCATGATCTGAAGGGAACTCAGCATTTCTAGGATATTTTCATGTATTTTGTTTATGTAAGCGGGCTTTAGGCTTTGATAGATTAAGTCTGTATGGTTTAGGCAAAGTGAGAGCTATTCTGAAGTTTCATCTACATTATAAAACAAACTCAATGTTTTTGAGTTTAACTCAATGAATTTGAGATTAAAAAATTGTGGTATAGGTTAGCTGGTGGTGAAGAAGCTTTGTTCCTAAAATTCCAATATATTTTTGCACTGCCAGGTTTTTCTCAGGTCTGGAATGGAAGCTGAGTAAGGAGAGGATTGGAAAAGAGATGAGATGCTTACTGTGCACAGAGTAAGGCAATTATGCAGCTAGGTTGTCCTTGGCAGTGCCTGTTCAGAGGTGGCTGCATCATCTTTGCACTAGAACAAGGATTTTACAATTATAACTTCCTTATTGCTGTCTCATGGTGGCTGAGATCCTACTATAGAGAAAACCTAAACAGTCAGTAATTTTTTTTTGATCATGCTGTATTTAAAGCAGTGTTTTACTCCACAGGATTATGTCCCAATGTCAGCAAGTCCAGATTACATTTTTCATCTTAGTCATGACTTGAAGAACACAAATGAGTTGCAGTATGCAAAAGTTTAATTTCACTCATAAAAAGAAAGTGCTGGGGTTTTTTTTTTCTTCTTTCTTTCTCTTTCTTTCTTTCTTTCTTTCTTTCTTTTCTTTTCTTTTCTTTTCCTGGCTGGCTTTTCTAAAGTTCAGTAGACATTAAAATAATTGTATGAAACAATTACAACAATAAGAACAAATCTTCATTTTTCAGAATCAAAATATTCATTGGCTTCAATGGAATAAAAGTGGGAGTGTGGTAAAAATGCTTCTCTTCTTTTAAAAAACTATTTTCAGCTAGAATTTCAATTATCAGGACCAAAATATTTTGTTGAAAACTACCAACTTTGCCTACAGGGTAGGAACCTTTAAGGAATATGTTCCCATTTGAAGTATTTGCAATTTCTGAAACACTTCTTTAGAAAAAATTATTGTCTATTAAGTGGAGTTTTATTCAGAATGGGAAGTTCAGATAGAAAATTTTCAGCTATTGTGAAGGGCACTCTAAGCCAATGAGGCTGCCTGCAAGTGACATTTAAAAAACATTCATTATGCTGTCCAGTCACCTGGGAAGTCTAGCACTGCTGAACAGAAACAGGGACAATTGTGTCAGGGCTGAACTCCCCAAATTTGTTTTTAACCCCAGTCTTGCTGCATCCATTTGTCATCAATCCTTATTCTGTGAGAGCCTTTCAAAACCGGCCCTTCAGCTAAAGAGGTGTGAGCTCCACAAGTGTGTAAGCACTGGTGCTACACATTTTCCCCAGTGTACCTGGAACTTGGGATAGAACTGAGTCTGTTCATATGCATGAAAAGATACCATTGCTGACAGAACAGTTCACAGAACTGAGGGTTTTTAAAGAGTATATAAACTGGTTAATATTCATGTATCAGCGTGGTGAGGTACTAGCAATATTATAACAGTAGCTGGGTACCATTTTGTTTTACTTGAGGGAAATTCAATATGAATAAAACAGCAACTTTTCAAACATGACATTTAATCCACTCATGTAAATCATACTAGGAGATCTATTATTCATTATTAAAAGGGCACCATATTTTTATTATACTGAAAATGAAACACAAATGCTGTGAAAAATTTAGTGCCTTTTCCTGAAGTTTCAGGACACTTATCATGCAGTCATCTAGCAGGGGCTGACACTCATTTTAAAATATAGCTACAAAATTAATACATTTGAACTCTTTTGCTTGGAACAAGAGGATGTTCTATTTCACTGAATGAGGGATTTATTATTTATTTAAGCCTTCCTAAATACTTCAGATGGCAAAGTCCTTTGATAATGTTCACATTTGGAGTTAGATTTGTAATGAATAAAGTTCATATCTTTGTTGTTATTACTCATTTCCAGCATTTTCTTTCCTGAAGTGCATTTTGAAAACTACATATATCAGAAACTGATTAACATGACCTTAGGTATTAATTCTTAAAATATGATGAAACAAACAGTTTCGAGGACATTATTTTCTCTATGTCAGCAGCCGTCTAAGTACTGTGATGCTTTTAATTATTACAAAACAAGGTATCATTAGGAAAAGTAGACCACAAACTTCCCTTTCCTCCTCCTCCTCTTCTCCTGGTTTATTTTATTCTTGAGTGGAAGGCTTACACAAGTGAAGAACATCTAGCTCTAGGACACTTTATAGGACATAACATAAAAGTTTGATACAGTACAAAAAAAAGATAGTGCTTGGCAGTGCCAGAGGACTTTCAAAATGAGAGCCACTTAAATTTTCTCTGGATGCAATTATTTGTAGTTGGGATGAAAAGGCGCTACGTGAACCTTTCGGTAAATTCAAGAACTAAGCTTATACAGACGCTTGTATTTATTTAAAGACTGCAGTGCTGATGTTTTTTCACAGAGAATGAACTCATCTTTTACTGCTTTTATTTTGTTTGTATGAGTTTGTTTGGGGGTCTGGTCTTTGACTGCCATTTGCTAGATATCTCTGCAACAACTCCTCAAAATGCGCATTCTCAGAGCAATTCTTACAAAACTATTGCATATTAGAATCTGTTGTGTCTACTTTGTTTAGTG